TAGCAGAACTACTACTACAGACTGGCAGGGCTGTGCAAAAGCATGTATTTTGTACTTCTGGGTAGGGGACACATGCGCGCCCCTACCCGTGCTGCCTTTGGCGGCTTCAGCTGTTGATCATCGGGTCCCGGCTGGTGATTCCCCGCCGGTACCCGGCGATCGCCGAGTATCACTGATGGGGGAGAGGTCTGTATGTAAACAATACAGATTTCTCCCGTCAGCTCCAGCACGCTGCTTTGTATGGCTCTGCATAGCAGAGCCATACAAAGCAGCATGCTTACATAGCAAAGCACACAACACAGCACACAGTAAAACACACACAGCACGCAGTTAACCCTTTGATTGCCCCAGATGTTAACCCCTTCCTGCCCTGCTTTTTATTAGCACTGATCACTGTATTAGTGTCCCCGGGATGTCAGTGACAGTTATGCAGACCATACATGGGTCGAATTCTGAACAAATTTTCTTTAGAAAATTGGAAATTTCATGCAGTTTGTAATGCGATGGTGCCACCATTGATTTAGAAATTCAACCAGCCAAGCCTTTAATTTCACCTCATGTTGCTACAGAAAAGAATGTTCATGGCCAAGAATTTTCTTTTCTTTCCAGGTCACAGCTCATGCTCATTTCTTTTTCGATTACATTTCTCACACGACTCTCCCATCATTTATTAAAAATTAGTTTGTTTTTCAAAAAATTTCCGACATGCCCGATCACTCAAATTTGATGGTTGCTCGAAAATCGGCCACTGCTGTGGCTCACTAATGGTGCAAAATTTGACAGAAACTTCTTTTGGAATATAACCCATGTATGGCCAGCTTAAGTCAGTTCCCCCCAGTGTCAGACTGCTCACCGCAGTCCTGCTATAAGTTGCTGATTGCCACCATTACTAATATACCAAAAAAAAGTTCCAGTATATATATATATATATATATATATATATATATCGCCGTTTGTAGACGCTATAACTTTCACGTAAACTAATTAATTTATATGTATTGGGATTTTTTTTTTTTTAGCAAACACATGTAGCAGAATACATTTTGGTCTAAATTTATGATGACATTTTTTTTTTTTTTACTGGACATGTTTAATAGCCGAAAGTCAAAAATATTGTTTGTTTCTCAAAATTGTCAGTCTTGTTTTGTTTATAGCACAAAAAATGAAAAATGCAGAGGTGATCAAATACCACTGAAAGAAAGCTTCATTTGTGGGAAAAAAGGACATAAATTTCATTTGGGTGCAACATTGCATGACCGCGCAATTGTCAGTTAAAGTAAAGCAGCGCCGTAATTGCAAAAAATGGCCTGATCAGGAGGGGGGTAATTCCTCTGGTGGACAAGTGGTTAAGTGTGAAATTTGTAAGTATATGTTAAAGGTGTCAAAATATTAAATGAACAAAACAAACAAAAAAAGTTTAAATATTATCAGTTACTAAAATAGAAACAAACAAAAAAAATTAGCAGGAAAATAATAATTGAATGGAGAAGGAGAATAAGTCGTTCATTAGGGCTGATTAGTGTAAACTAAGGGTTAATAAGGGATTAAACAGAGAAACATTTAATTAGGAAAAAAAAACTTTTTTACTTGTCAGGTTGCTTTAACTGGCTTCATCTACAGATTGAAGTTCATCCCTTTGATCTGTAAAGGAATAAAACAGATACAAAATGAAACAATGTTTTTCTTTTGGGCAATGTTGTTGATAAACATTGCCAGACTACTTTAGATTGATAGCTCCAGCTGTCAGAACTTTCTGTGTACGGGCAATGCCAGAGTTGCTGAGTACTCTGACAGGGCAGAAGGACTGGACATCAGGGGCGGACTGACCATTTGGAAACTCGGCGCTGCCCGAGGGCCTGGGGTCAGGACACAGGGGCCCCATGATCCCCTATTGCCCGGGGGCCCCATGAGTTGTCAGTCTGCCCCTGCTGGACATATTACACATTTTATGGGCGTGTCTAAGGCTGACCATACACTATACAATTTTCTTACTTTTTCTGTCCAATTTCTTTAGATTTGCCTTCAACTATGTAGTGCAAGGGCCAGCCTTACTGGATACAATTGAAAGTGTTGTTTAGGTTTGATCTCATATTATATTGTTTTTGGTAAATCTAAAGCAAAATTCTCAAGAAAATTGTGATAATGTCTGGTTATGTCAGCTTACTTCAGTTTTCAATTCTGTTTAGTTCAGTTTAGTTTACATCAGTTTATATCAGTTCAGTTTACATTAGTCTATATCTGTTTTTGCAGGTAACAAAAAATATACAATTATAAGTAACAAAAGTATAAACAAAAAATGTCCTTGCCAAAAAACGGACATAAACAGAAGGGATTCAAACAGATGGATTCATTTACATCTGTTCCGTTTCAATGGATCTGGACGTACCCTTGTCCATTTCAAAAGACGGATTGGAACAGACATGGACATACACAGATGATCATCCATTTACATCTGCAAAAGAAAAATAAATGTGATAATATGATCGTGACAATTATCAACACCTATTGTATCGCGCCAAATGCAATCTATGTTTAAAAAAAGCTGCCACTATATAAAGACCATAATAAATGAAATAATATAAACACCCAAATCATACAATGTTGTAGTAGCGCTAAATAAATAATAATAAAATGTGAAGTGAATACCAAAAAATATTGGTGAAAAAAAAAACAACTTAGAAACTGTCTGTGATTAATGAGAAATCAATTCAAATTAAAAGTGAAAACTCCATGAACACACATAATAAAAGTCCATAAAATCAGTTCTTCTCCTTCACCGTGTGTTATAGATTGACAACCAAGTGCTTCACAGGAATCCACCACATGGATGTAAACTCACCACAAACATTTGCCTTCCAGTCTTGTAGTTGGCAAAAAAGCTTCCTGGGATAATCTTCCCAATTATAGATGACACTTATGAATTGCGTGAGACAAAGCTTCCACTGCCTACAGCAAGAAATATACTGCTAGCAGTCACTTATCTATCAAAAAACATAAACAAGTATTTTTTGGTATTCACTTCACATTTTATTATTATTTATTTAGCGCTACTACACCACTGTGATTTGGGTGTTTATATTATATCCGTTTATATCTATTGGTTCATAGAAATACACTGCTGTTCATTTTTCATCCATCAATGGACGGATGAAAATAGGCAGATGGTCTCCTGTGACAGTGTGGTTCTGCCCTTCCACATGGGCATTTATTTTTTTTTCATCAGTTCAGTCACATTTTTTCAAACAAAAAAAAAATGGATCAGTTTTTCATCAGTTCCCATCAGTTTTTTACATCCACTACCAATGCAAAAATGGACCGTTTGTCCGTTTCCATTTGTTTTTCTTCCATTCAATTTTTTTTTACAGAACAAAAATATGGATGTGGATGTAAATGGATGATCATCTGTTTACATCCGTTTTTCCATAGAGATGCATGGATGTCCATTTTTCATTTATCAACAGACGGTTAAACTGGACAAACAAAATGGGGCCTAAAGACCTAACTCCCCCTTGGTGCGCTGGTGCAGCATCCTGGATTATACAGGCAGTGTGCACAAAGCTTGATTAGCCAAAATCTGGGGTGGGTGAGGAGTTTTTTCTCATATAGGTATTTCTCGTATAGTTTTCAACGGATTGTACACCCCATTAACACCCATCAGACCACAAAAACAAACCTAAATAATAAACATGACAAGGATTGTGGAACCTTTTTGGTCCCTTTATTTGGTTTAAGTCAATTTTAATTATGAAATAAACATTCAACTAGAACTAGTAGTAGTAGATACACAGAATATAACTGGATACTAACATTTATAGGTAACATTGATCCAGGGAATATCCGATTGCCTCTCGGGGGATCAGGACAGAAATTTTTTCCCCTGCAGAAGCAAATTGGCTCATGCTTTGCTGGGTTTTTTGCCTTCCTCTGGATCAACTGTGGGTGTAGGATTATGACTTTCTTATTTTTTTTTTTAAGGTTGAACTGGATGGACTTTTGTCTTTCAGCCAGACTAACTATGTAACTATAGGGAAAACTTTTTTTTAATTTTGAGTAGAGCAAGGGAGGGTTATAACCCCTGTCAATTTTTTTTGCCATCTGTGTCCTATAAAGCTAGGTTCACATCTCTGCAGGTGTTGCCGCTGCAGATCCGCATGAAAATCCGTGCAGCCGCACCACCCGCACAGAAGAATACAGACCCGCGGGCGAGTGCCATTAGTTCTAATGGCATGCTGCCCACACTGGAATACGTAACCGTACTTGGAACCTCGGTTCCCGTGCGGGCTGCGGTTTCAGAAGAAGTGCAGAGACTTCTTCCCTACATGTCACAGGGCACAGGAGTCCATTCAAATGAATAGGCTCTTGTGCCCATGCAAAACATGGCCTGCATGGCTGCATATATGTGAACTGGGGCTTAAAGAGATTTCTCTTCACGTCCTGTACCATAGTTAAAGCAGAGTTTCAGCTGAAAAAAAAAAAAATAAAAGTCAGCAGCTACAAAAACTGTAGCTACTGACTTTTAAAATACAGCCACTTACTGTATTTTTCGCTCCATAAGACGCACCTGACCATAAGACGCACCTAGGTTTTAGAGGCAGAAAACAGAAAAAAAAAAATTCTGAACTAATGGACTGCAGACATAGTACAGGAGATGACCAGAGACTGTGGACAGCACAGGGATGACCAGTGACTGCGGACAGCACAGGTATGACCAGAGACTGCGGACATAGTACAGGGATGACCAGAGACTGCGGACATAGTACAGGGATGACCAGAGACTGCAGACATAGTACAGGAGATGACCAGAGACTGCGGACATAGTACAGGAGATGACCAGAGACTGCGGACACAGTACAGGAGATGACCAGAGACTGCGGACACAGTACAGGAGATGACCAGAGACTGCGGACAGTACAGGAGATGACCAGAGACTGCGGACATAGTACAGGGATGACCAGTGACTGCGGACAGCACAGGGATGACCAGAGACTGCGGACATAGTACAGGGATGACCAGTGACTGCGGACAGTACAGGAGATGACCAGAGACTGCGGACAGTACAGGGATGACCAGAGACTTCGGACAGTACAGGAGATGACTGCTGACCTTTGGGGAGGGAGGGGGAACGGGTACCTGAATTTGACAGGTACCCGCTCTTACTTCCGCGGAGTTGTTCTTTGATCTTACCTGTTCCTCTATCCAGTGGCACGCTATCTTCCCGGCTTCTGTAGTGTCGGCGCTCTCGGCACGACAGCCGGGTGCCCAGTGCTCATGAGCGAGAAGCACTTGCGCTTTGTGATTGGTCCGGCGTCTTCTGGGATCTGTCATGTGTCCCAGGTACCGCCTTACCATTCACAAAAAGCACCGCTTCTTGCGCATGCGCACTTGGCACCCGGCTGTCATGCCCAGCGCTGACACTACAGAAGCCGGGAAGATAGCGCGCCGCTGGACAGAGGAACAGGTAAGGTCAAAGAACAACTCCACGGAAGTAAGAGCGGGTACCTGTCAAATTCGGGTACCCGCTCCCCACCTCCCCAAAGGTCAGCAGTCATCTCCATAAGGTCCCGCTGCAGAGCTGAGCGGCCGGCCTGGTATTCTGACACGGCAGCGGTGGAAACACCGGACCGGCCGCTCCATATTTGCTCCATAAGACGCACTAACATTTTCCCCCATTTTTTTGGGGGAAAAAAGTGCGTCTTATGGAGCGAAAAATACGGTACCTGTCCCTCGGTCCAGCGGTGTCCTCACCACTGCTGGTTTCACCGGCCGTCTTCTCTCCCTGGTGCCGACATCTTCAGTGTGGGCACCCTATTGTGACAGTTTGCGGCTTCAGAGCCGGGTGCCCACTGCGCATGCGTGAGGAATGCTGCACTTTGTGAATGGCCCCGTAGTCTATTGGGACCTGTCACTACAGGGAGGGAGGACAACTTCCGCTTCCGATCGCCTAGACGATCGCAGCAGAAATGGGAGTGGGTACCTGTCAGATTCAGGCACCCACTTCCCAAAGGTGCCAATCCTTATTGGAGAGCGGGGGGACAAAGCATTAAAGCAGAACTTACCCTTTTGGGTGGAACTCCACTTTAAACATGAAGTGAGTGTAAATCCCTGCAAATGAAGGGAATCCTTAGGGGACCCCCAAGTCACCAGAACTAGTGTCCCCATTGAATGATTTCCCCTCTATTACCTATCTGAGGACAATCCATAATGTGGGATTTTTTTTTTACTTTCACTTTCAATGATAATAGTAAAGAGGACAAATAGAGAGGGTCTAATGGGGGCACGGAGAGAAATAAAACCTGACAGGTATTCTAATCCCTCTCCACTTTATCCAAAACTAAGGAAAATGTTTTGCCTGAAGTTATACTTTAACCTTTAATACCAAACCACTGCTAACTATTAACAGACCAGCATGCTTAGTCACCAAGACTCCACCATTTATATCCCGTTCCCGCACCAACCAAATAACAGTGTACCAACCATTGTCCACCCACAAAGTGGGCAGCTTTACCCTATTAACCACTTACCCCCCAGAGGATTTACCCCCCTTCCTGACCAGACCATTTTTTGCGATAGGGAGCTGTGTTACTGACAATTGCACGGTCATGCAAAGCTGTAAATAAATGAAATTTATGTAATTTATTCCCCCACCAATAGAGCTTTCTTTTGGTGGTATTTGACCACACATTTGTTTATTTTTATATATAAACAAAAAAAGACCGACAATTTTGAAAAAAAAAAACAAAAACAGGATAGGAAGGCAGAAGATAACCCCAAGGTGAGTCCACATGACAGACCTGAGGTAAATGCTGACTCCGCCCAGTGACAGGAGAGGCTATACAAATGAAAGGGTACGCTCACTGGCCAGCTGTTTTCCCTCCAAAAGATTTGTCACCAATTGACTGAAGATCTGCCCAGCAGCTGAGGTAAATCCTCCCAACAACAGCAGGCAGCTTATCACATGAAACACAAAACAGAAAGAACAGCAAAGCAGCCCAGAGAGACATGGAGTTAAAGTGATTGTAAAGGATCTTTTTTTTAATACCAAATATATTATATTTAGCTGTTCTGTGTAATGGTTAAAGGCATGCCCAACACCGGCTTAAAGCAGAACTACACTGTATTTACCACTTGCCCTCCTGAGGATTTATCCCCCTTAACGACCAGGCCTCTTTTTGCTACTCGGCGCTGCACTAATTCAACTGATAATTGCGCGGTCATGCAATGCTGCACCCAAACGAAATTTACGTCCTTTTTTTTCACACAAATAGAGCTTTCTTTCGGTGGTATTTGATCACCTGTGCGCTTTTTATTTTTCACGCTATTATTATTATACAGTATTTATAAAGCGCCAATAGTTCGCTCAGCGCTGTACATTACAGAGGGGAACAGAACATGTGACAGAACAATACCAATACAATGCAAAACATGAGGGGATCGAGGGCCCTGCTCTTTCGAGCTTACAATCTAGGAGGGAGGGGCTATAAACAAGAACAGACCAAAAATTTTCAACATGCCCAATCACTTAAATTTAATGGTCGCACAAAAATCAGCTGTTTCTGTGGCCCACTAATGGTATGAAATTCAAATGAAAATTCTTAGAAAAGATTTTTTGAAAGAAAATTCTTTTGGAATTCAGCCCATGTATGACCAGATAAAGTTTGTTAAAATCTCTGCAACGTAAACTGATCACCCAGAGGGGAATGTTTTTTTCTCAACAAAAGTGGAGTTACTCCTTTGGGAAACATTAACCTCTTTGGAGGAAAAGAAATGTAATCTCCAAACACAGAAAGATTTCTTCAGAGTAAGAGCTGTGAAAATGTGGAATAGACTCCCTCAAGAGTTGGTTCTGGCCAGCTCAGTGGATTGCTTTAAAAAAGGCCTGGATTCTTTCCTAGATACACAGAAATATACCTGGATACTAACATTTAGCCCTCATGCACACTTTGACATTTTTACAGCTTCTGTTTTTGGCTTTTGTCATTTTTTTTCTACAGCTAGTAAACTCCTAAGCATGTTATCCTATGTGTCCATGCACAGATAGACTGTAATCAACGTTTTCTGGCTGAGTCGCTTTTTGGCTGGAAAAAAACCCCAGGACTAGTTGGTTTCTAGAGGAGTTTTTTAGCTGGAAAACACTCTAACGCTGAAAAACGCCGCTAATCGCAGCAAAACGCTAATGCAAAAATGCTACAAAAAGCATGACTTTACACAGCTAACGTTACCAGCGTTATCAAAATGTCCAGTGTGCATGGGGACTTATAGGTAAAGTTGATCCAGGGAATATCCGATTGCCTCTCGGGGGATCAGGAAGGAATTTCTTCCCCTGCAAGAGCAAATTGGATCATTCTTTGCTGGGTTTTTTGCTTCCTCTGGATCAACTGTGGGTAAAGGATGATGACTTTTTTTTTAAGATTGAACTGGATGGACTTTTGTCTTTTTTCAGCCAGACTAACTATGTAACTATCTATGCATTTCCAGCCGCTGTGTTTTTGGAATAGGTCATGGACTTATTCCGGCAGCAGATTGTGTTTTTGTATCAATAGAACCGCAGCACAAATGCTGCATTATTGATGTGTTTTGACACTTTTTTGACCAATAGGAAAGTACTGAGTGCAACTTTGATGCAACTTTACACTGTCTGGCACTCAAGTCACAACAAGGTAGCATTAAATTAGAGCAGGAACCTTTTCAAAGTCACTGCGATTTTGAAAAGGTTCCTGCACTACTTTGATGTGACTTTGAATGCCAGAAAGTGTAAAGTTGCATCAAAGTAGTGCATGGACATTTTTAAAGTCGCAGAGACTTTCAAAAGGTTCCTGCACTACTTTGATGTGACTTTGAGTGCCGGAGAGTGTAAGGTTGCACCAAAGTCACACTCAGTACTCTTCTATTGGCAGACAATCTCAGTGTAAGGAAACACCCATTTTTTCTATTTTAATTTCATTCATGAGCACCTGTTTCCTCAATGCAACATTCAAAAGACATTAAAAAAAACACCTGTAGTTATGTTTCCTATGTACTTTGTTTTTTTTTTTTCATCTATTCTTAGTGGTATTTAGTTGTACAAAGTTACCATCCTCAGGCGCTTTCCCAGTGACATTAATGCAGGCCATAGACGGGTCGAAAATCGGCCGATTTTTCTTTAAAGAACCAAAAAAATCGGTCGTTAAAGCGGCCGATGTTACCAGCAACGGTAAAAAAAAAAAAAAAAAAAAAAATCGGCCGATTTTCATCCCGTCTACAGCTGGCAAAAAGTGTCCCTGCAGAGACCTCCGCTATTTCTTTGACAGTTCCTTGACATTTATAGCGGTTGCAACAATGTATCTATTTGTATCCATTTAGGATACAGATGTTTTTATTCGGAAACAAATAGATACATTGTTCCAACCGCTATAAATGTCAAGGAACTGTCAAAGAAATAGCGGAGCTCTCTGTAGGGACACTTTTTGCCGGACTGGAATTCCTCTTCTTCTTCATCCTCTTCCTCTTCTTCTTTCTTCTTCATCCTCTTCTTCTTCTTCATCCTCTTCTTCTTCTTCATCCTCTTCTTCTTCTTCTCCTTCATCCTTTTTTTATCCTCTTCTTCTTCTTCCTCTTCCTCTTCATCTTCTTCATTCTCTTCTTCATCTTCCTCTTCTTCTTCATCCTCTTCTTCATCCTTTTCTTCTTCTTCATCCACTTCTTCATCTTCCTCTTCTTCTTCATCCTCTTCTTCTACTTCTTCATCCTCCTCTTCTTCATCCTCTTCTTCTTCTTCATCCTCTTCTTCTTTTTCTCTTCTTCATCCTCTTCTTCTTCTTCATCCTCTTCTTCATCCTCTTCTTCTGCTTCCTCTTCTTCTGCTCCTCTTCTTCATTCTTCTTCTTCATCCTCTTCTTCTTCATCCTCTTCTTCTGCTTCCTCCTCTTCTTCTGCTTCCCTCTTCTTCATCTTCATCCTGTTCTTCTTCCTCTTCTTCATCCTCTTCTTCTTCCTCTTCTTCATCCTCTTCTGCATCCTCTTCATCCTCTTCCTCTTCTTCTCCATCCTCTTCTTCATCCTCTTCTTCAGCTTCTTCATCCTCTTCTTCCTCTTCTTCTTCATCCTCTTCTTCTTCATCCTCTTGTTCTTCTTCTTCCTCTTCTTCTCCTTCTTCCTCTTCTTCTTCATCATCCTCTTCTTCTTCTTCCTCTTCTTCTCTTCTTCTCCTTCTTCCTCTTCCTCTTCTTCATCCTCTTCTTCATCCTCTTCTTCTTCATCATCCTCTTCTTCTTTTTTCTTCTTCTTTTTGTCTTCCTCTTGCAGGTCACTGCTCATGCGCAGATTTTTTTATCAATAAAAGATCGGCCGATTTGCCCATCATTGCTGCGAAAATCGGCCGATCAGCAAAATCGGGCGATTTTTTTTTCCAACTTTACAAAATTTACAAAAATCTGGCAAAATACCGAAAAACGGCCAAACATTTAGCCCACTAGCGATCCAAAAATCGGCCGATTTTGTTTTCGGCCGAAAAATCTGCTGATTTTTGACCCATCTATGGCCTGCATAAGTTTAGACTTACTACAAAATTCTTTCCTTCATTTGATTTGTTGCCTAAATTAAAACACCATTCGGGTTCCATCATAACTCCCAACACTTCAAATTTAGGCCTTGTAGTAACATTAGTAAGGATGGTACTCAGATTACC